ATATATATATATATATATATATATATATATCTCCCTCTGTATTATTCAAAACACAAGTGTGCATCATCTGATAAGATATCAGGATAGTATTATTATATCCAAATCCACTGAGGTGCTGCTCAAAAGGGCGAAGAAGGCCCAGGCAATGTTTTCTGTAAAAATAGACATCCATGCTTCATGCTTTTTAACGAAGTTCCAATATATCCACCGAGCGATCAAATGTCCTGCTGGTCCAACGTCATCTCGCAAGAGCCTGAAAATGACGAAAAAAGTGCCGGAATGAGGTTTGGTAGAGCAGCAGCATTGGATATGTGTGTTCAGCAATTGCCGTCGGTCCTCAGATGGACTTGCGTCTTCTCATCAGCCGGAGGTTTTCCGTGAAGCTGTGCAGCCCGGGTGAGACGGAGCTGATGGGGGAGGGAAGGAAACTGTTTTTCAGCGTGCTCGGCGAGATCTCCTCTATGCGGCAGGACACCGTTGAGTGGTAGTGATGGTACTGATGAGGGCTCAACTGGGAGCCGAACGAGTTCTGGTGTGGAAACGCACCACCACCGCTGCTTCCTCCTCCTCCCATTCCCAACCCGAGGCCGACCGAGCTCCCGAATTCGTGCGAATGGTAGTGCATGCAGGAGCAAACGGACTGGAGATCGGTGACCTCGGATCTGTAGCGCTGCTGCTGCTGTTCTCGTCTCCGTCGACTCCTCTGGAGCGTGTCCTCCTGGATGTGGATAATCATGCTACTGCGGTTCCCCGCCAGGGAAGCCCTCTCCTCGGCATCCCGCCGCTCGTCCTCGCTGTTCATGGTCAGGAAACGAAGGACCACCAGGTTGAGAAAGGCCCCGATGACCGTCAGCCCCACTAGGATGTACATGAAGCTGAACGCCACATAGAGGGGCTTTCTCTGCAAAGCTTTGTTCTTCTGCAGGGCCACAAAGTCCCCGAACCCAATGGTGGTGAGCGTTATGAAACAATAGTAATATGACTGAAAGAAACTCCAGTCCTCGTAATGGGAGAAAGCTGCCGCGCCGATGCAGAGCGTTCCCATGCAGGAGAAGAAGCCCACGGTGACCATGTTCTCCATGGAGACTTCTGTGATGCGCATCCCGCAGCACTTTTTGATGCGCTTCAGCATGTACTTGACGAAGGTGTTCATTCTCTCGCCGAGGCTTTGGAACATCACTAGTGTCAGAGGGATCCCAAGCACCGCGTAAAACATGCAGAACGCCTTTCCAGCATCTGTGCCTGGAGCCGCGTGGCCATAACCTGAGGACCAAAGAGACAAGTGATCAGATCAAAGATGACAAGAAACAACAAAACTGAGTGTGCTGGCTGGGAATACTGCTGGTTGAAGATCTGGGCTGGTCACCAATGTTGCAGGTGTGAAACAACACCTGGGTTTTTGATTGGTCTGTTTTCAACTTGTTAAAAAAAAATAAATCTAAAATCCTTAAACCAAGTAAATTAGCTAATGAATGCATTATTTTGTTCTACTGCACTGCAAATTGTCAAAATACTTGTATTAAATATAAATTCTCTCAAAAACACAAATATTATATATACAGTGTGTGTGTGTGTGTGTGTGTGTGTGTGTGTGTGTGTGTGTGTATACACACACAATATCATTGTCTGAAATTGTGAAATGTATATATAAAGAACTTGTATTATAGTTCTAGAAATCCATCTGGTTACTGGTGCTTTAATGATACCAGAAAACATATGCACTGATCATCACATTTTCATCTCCAAAGAATCAAATGCAATTGACCAAATATGGTGGTTTGCTGAAGTTAAGGTGCTACAAAAAAAACATTAAAGAACCTTCATTTTTTTTGAGCAAGGGACTTTTCCAACGTTGTCTAGACTGATTGCCTGTTGGATGACTGTGCTGTATGCCAATTTGGAAAAAAAAGCACTTTACAAAGCAGTAAGGTAGAACTAAAGAACTGCTTTCAAAAACACCAGACATCAAAAAAACATCCGATATCGACAAGCAGAAATTAGCAACATGGTGTGCTCTCACACTAATCTAATTGTACTCTGGTGACCGGCCAATTTCTATAACTTCTATCATCTTCAACAAATTTCAAGAAGCCAATCAGTCAATTTCCAAGAAGTTAAACATCCCCATATTTGGCTTTGCCTGCAAACGCACTCAGGCAGAAAATATGAGCTGAGTCACGCATCTTAGCTATCACTATCTTAGCCAAAACACTGAGTATAGGTCACGGAAACCAGGTGCCTCTTTGATCTTATTTAAGGCTCAGAGATTAGAGGGGGGTGTCCAATTAGTGCCAGGTTTCCTCTCTTGCCCCCTTGGCCCACTTCTTAGGGGGGGCGAGACAGGAAGGCAGGCGTTACAAATTTAGAAAAGAAAGGAAGAAGAAAGGCTGGTGGGGCCAGTAAAGCTTTTAGCTTAATTAGACTTTATCTGGAAGTAAAAAGCCTGAATTTGCTGACTCACATCGAAGCCAGTGAGCCTTTCTAATACAGTCTTTGCTGATGAGCAAGAAAATAAGTGACAAGACTATAGTAAAAGTGTATTACATCCCACCTCACTATGCCAAGGCGAGTATTCATCCTCTCTCTTTCATTAGCACTAAGAAGGTATCATTCAAAGAGCTTTAGCTACACTAGCGCATGTGTTTGTGTGATAGTAGCTCAACACAAAGTGGTTTAAAGTGTTTTTAACAGGCTTTCTTAAAGTTGCAGTAAGCGATTTCAGATGTTTTGCTAACTTACACTAGACTTCACACTGCTCCTTTAATCAAAAGCCTTCTTACAAAAACCACCCACCATAGATAAGTTAACAAACCTGAAGATTGACAGACAACGAACATTTTCTGACTGCCTAAAAAAAAGTTTGAGCAGCTTGTATCTCTTTTGTGCTGTTCATAGCAGGTGCTCATTGTTTGGCAGGTTAACTTCAGCAGTTAGCAGGTCTAAAGGCAAAAAGCATATTTTTCATTAATGGCCAATCAAACGTAGCTGAAAGCAACATACATAAAAACAAGTTAATTATATTACAGTAGATTCAAGATTTGCATATGTTTTTTTTTAGTATAATTAATTGGGTGAAACAGATCTGCTGCAAGGACTTCTAATACAGTGGAAATATAAATGTCATTTTTACACAATATTTTAGTAAATATTTACACTCAGACTACATATAAACACACACACACACACACACACACACATAC